TATCTATTCTCCTCTGTACAGTCCCTTCCCCCAGGATCTGCAGGGAATGGGCCTGGGGAATGTTAAGCTGCAGCTTCCTGGCAAACCTGCACAAGTGGCATGCCTATACTATTTGGCCTTCTCTTTGCACCTTTCCAGTTAATTAATAACTAGGTTAGTTACAAAGGTATCATTAACATGCAAGCTGTGTCTTGGACTCTGTTTTTTAGGAGCATGGTTTGCAGACTAAAACAAATTAATACTTTTTATCCAACCTTCTAAATTATTCTGGCTAGGTTAATAATCAAATTAACAGAGACAAATTAACAGGTGAAAATCAAACATTTAAGACATGAGCATGGGGAATTTACAGAGGAATGGAAATTCCAAAGACAGGCAACATTGGCTATATACTGAGTGGCCAGTATATGGCCAGTATTATTATGATCTCTGAACGCATAAAAATCTGGCCACTCAGTGTATGTATGTGTGTGTGTGTGTGTATATATATATATATATATATATATATATATATATATATATATATATATATATATATATATTAGAGGCCCAGTGCATGAATTCGTGCATGGGTGGGGTCCAGCCAGCCTGGCCAGGGGGAGGGGATAAGGGTGGTTGGCAGGCCTGCCTGCTGTTGAAACTCCTGGTCAAGGGGACAATTTGCATATTAACCTTTTATTATATAGGATATACACTGAGTGGTCAGATTATTATGCATTCAGAGATCATAATAATCTGGCCACTCAGTGTATAAGGAATTTTGTATAAAGGAGGAAAGGAGAGTGGCTGGGGGCCTTAGATTTCAGAAGTGAGAATGGGAGATTTACAAGTAGTTGAGGATGAGCAGAACATACATGACAGGAAAATACTTTCAAGGCAACCCAGAAGCAGTGAGACACAGGGCTACCTAGTTAACAGGTCCCTGTATGAAGTCCTCTTGTTTTTATTTTGTTATGTTTTAGAGAGAAGAAAGGAGCGGGAGAGAAAGAGAGAGAGAAACATCCATGTGAGAGAGAAACATTAATCTGTTGTCTCTCCTATGCACCCTGACCAACAAGGGATGGAACCTGCAACCTGGTATGTGCCCTGACCAGGAATCAAGCCTTCAACCCTTTGGTGTATAAGATGACGCTCAACCAACTGAGCCATACTGGCCAGGGCTGAAGCCTTCTTGTGTACAGTGCTTAATTCAAATTGGGGTAAAGCAACAACCTAAAGCAGATTTTACTGTCTGAATCTCTTGGGCACAAAAAGGGAGAGAGTCAAAGGTTATTTCTAAGTGTTGTTTTTTAATAAACAGTTTAAAATTGGTGTCTCAAAAAGGTAGCTTATGGGTGGTAAAACTGGTTCCCTTCAGTAGACTATGACAACATGTAACCTGAGTTTTTAGAAAACTAGAGAGGTTGGTCCAAATGCCATTTAATGTCATTTCTACCTCTAAACTACTATAATTCCACCTATTTAAGGGTATACATTTTCTATAATGGTATTGCTGGCTTAATGCAGCCACAAATATGCATGTGGGCTGAAATCCTTAGATTATTACAGCACCACTATTTCATTCTTGTTTTCAACATAATATCAATAATTCATTAGAGGGGAAATTAGAGGGGAAGAATAAAGCAGCCCAATAAAGAAAATTATTTCTTATTTCTCTTTCTTATATCAGTTCCTCACTTTCATTTGTCTAAGCATCTTCTGCAACCCTGCCTCATCTACATAGCATTAGATAGATGTCAACTATCTGCTTCTTTTCCATACTCACATCATAGTTGGTAAGGTAACTTTTAGTCATTGTGACTGTATCTAATCTCTGTGTGCATACTGAGTTGCAGAAATGGGCATAAATTTAAATCTGAACCAAAATTTGTTGAAATATACATACTCATTCAATAAACATTTGTGGAGGATCATGTATTATAATAAGTACTGAGGCAAAAGCAAAGAATTAGACATGGATCCTATCGTTAATAGAGGCCCGGTGCTCACTGGAGGGGGGGAATATCCCTCAGCCCACACCCTCTCCAATCTGGGACCCCTCAGACAATCCTCTCACAATCCAGAACTGCTGGCTCCCAACTGCTCGCCTGCCTGCCTTCCTGATTACCCCTAACTGCTTCTGCCTGTCAGCCTGTTTGCCCCTAACTGCCCTCCTCTGCTGCAGGCCTAGTCACCCCTAATTGCCCTGCTCTGCAGGCCTGGTTCCCCCAACATCTCTCCCCTGCAGGCCTTGATCCCCCACAACTGTCCTACCCTGCAGGACTGGTTGCCCACAACTTCCCTCCGCTGCTAGCCTAGTCACCATTAACTGCCCTCCCCTGCAGGTTTGGTCACCCCCAACTGCTCTCCCTTGCAGGCCTGGTCCCTCCCAACTGTCTTCCCCTGATGGCCATCTTGTGGTGGCCATCTTGTGTCCACATGGGGGCAGGATCTTTGACCACATGGGGGCAGCCATTTTGTGTGTTTGAATGATGGTCAATTTGCATAATACTCTTTTATTAGATAGGATAGATTCAGGTATTATAGCAGAGACTGTGTTTATGTACATAAAGCAATAATTCCCATTCAAAATAGAAGGGAACATGTGGAAGATCACTCAAACAAACAAAAATGCCTATAAATGCTGGAGTATTTGGATGAGAACTCTGGAGGGATTTATAGAGGACTAAGGATTTGACATATGAAATTAAGAAAGACAGGTGTCTGGAAAGTAGTGTTTTATTCCGAATTTAACTTTAGGGTGAAAAGTAATTTCTCTGGATTAAAAAGATTGTCTTGTTATTTGGGATATCTAGACTTTTTATGCATAGCAATGTGCTCAGACTGTTTCTGTATGGAACAATCAAAAGATGTATCCTCTTCCTCCTCCCCTTTTTGCTGCTAAAGTTACTATTGCCTTTAGTAGGAGGATTACTGTTGTGACCTCAGCCTGGCCTTTGGGCACATTTTACTTATTGCAGAAAATTATCGTGAGTTTATTTCATCTATGCAACATAAACTGCAAACAACTTGTCAATTTTATATCTTCAGTTTTTCAATCAAGCAAATGGGTTAGGACAGTGGTCGACAAACTCATTAGTCAACAGAACCAAATATCAAGATTGAAATTTCTTTTGAGAGCCAAATTTTTTAAACTTAAACTTATTCTAATGTCACTTCTTCAAAATAGACTCATCCAGGCTGTGGTATTTAGTGGAAGAGCTACATTCAAGGGGCCAAAGAGCCACATGTGGCTCGAGAGCTGCAGTTTGCCAACCACAGGGTTAGGAGAAACCTTTTGTGTGATTAGCAAGAATTAAGCAACAACAATTTAAAAGAAGTAAAAAAAAAAGAATTCCATTTTTTTAAGTAAATTTTTATTGATTTCAGAGAGGAAGAGAGAGGGAGGGAGGGAGATAGAAACACCAATGATGGGAGAGAATAATTGATTGGCTGCCTCCTGCATGCCCTCTATTGGGATCGAGCCAGGGGCATGTGCCCTTGACCTGAATCTGACCTGGGACCCTTCAGTCCTTGGGCCAATGCTCTATCCACTGAGCCAAACCAGGTAGGGCAAAATAATTCACTTTTAAAGTCAGAATGATTTCTTCTACAGCATACTCATCATTTAAATACAGCAAGCAATGATGGCTAAGCCATTAGCAAATTTTTGGCAAGACAAAACTATTTTAGACTTCTTCAATAAAGAATAGTTTTCAAGCTTTTTAGATCTAAACAAATGGAAATAAATTGGACAGAACTATTTGAACTGACAGATTAATAAGAAAAAATGTCTTTAGTATCAGTGTTTGATTTTTCAGTCTCTTGAACTTCCCTGTAAATAAAATAAAAAAAATAATTTCTTCTAATTAAGTTATAAAGGTATACAGTCAGTGTGAGGGTTTTGTATCAGGAGAGTTTGGCCAAAATTTGCTAGGAGATTGATTCTTGTTGGTATCATTGAATTTTTCATTCTTATTTCAATACACTTCAGAGTGAGCTGAAATTTACTTAAAAAAGGAATTGCAATATTATTCTATTTCTCTTTCATAATTCTTTAATGAAAAAGAACAATGTTTCAGAGGTCTGAGTTTAAATACCATTTTCACAGGCTACCTATCAAATTCTTATACCCACTTTGTCTTTTCAATTAGAACCTTGCCAGATGCCATTGATATTGATAGAAATGTATTTGTATATAATTAATCATCATGCAATAATAGATTATCTATAAAATAACAGGGTTTAAAAAAAAAGTCCCTCTGTGAAAAGAAGGCATCATGAGATATCTGGAAAGTGTATTTAGGAACAGTTTGAATACAATACTTAAAATTATTGGTTGTCAAGGAGGAGAGAAAAAAAGTGCGAAGAATGTTAGGGGTAATTAACACAACTGATGATAGAGTTTGAAGGCTTGCTGAAGATTTGTGGGTATGTATGCACTTAATGTAGTTGCTGGTTTTTGCTCTAAATTCTCCTTATGTATCAACAGTTATTTTTCACATCTCAGTGTGTATGAAAAAAAGAATTTTTCACATTCTCTATGAGAATGAAACTTTTCCCAAAGATGTTGGTTTGTAAAAACTAGACTATTCCAACCAAAGAAAAATATTTTATCCTTTTGTATAATGTAACCTTAAATCATTTATATAGCCAAAATGCATTAATAAAATAAGATCTCTTTGAACCTTAGTTTCTCTTTAGTCTACAAATTAGATTTTAAAGAATGAAATATTAGGAATTCCACCAATAAATTTAAATAGAAATAGATTCATTTGAACTAATGACTGAATAAAATGGTGACATTCTCATATTAAACCTGATGATTTGGTATATTATATTACACATTTTCTTTTATTTCATGGAGAATGGAATTTTTATTAGCAGTATTTCAGAAAAATGTGAGTTGACTTCATGAAACTCTTTTCCATATTAAGAAAAATAACTAATACTGTTTTCTTTTCATCTTTTTCTGGAATACCTGTCCAAATATTCTAAAGGCTTTGCATTTTGTTCTTTAGTTTCAGCTCAAATTCTCAAGAGCAACCTTGCAGCAATGGAACAACAGATTGTTAATCTGGAACGTGATATCAAGAAATTCCCACAAACAGAAGATAAACATGATAAATTCGTGGAAAAGATGGCTATATCCTTTATTTAAGTAGTGTGTGTGTGTGTGTGTGTGTGTGTGTGTGTGTGTGTGTGTGTCAGTGTCTATCTGTCTGTCTGTATATTTACTACTTGGTTCATTCTAAATTTAGTCTTATTCACACTGCCTGGATGAATCTGTGTATAGGCTGTTTTTATAATAGCAGCATAAATTTTAGTTCAGGATGTTTTGAGCCAGGTAGAGTAGCCAAGGGAACAATTATATAAGAAAATACTGCCATTTTTCAAAGAAGAATTTCATTTGAAGGCTCACCAGATATGCAAGGTAAGTCTTATGAGGCTTGATTAGACCTAAAACAAAACAAAGAATCTCCTTATGTAACCATTTGCTTAAAGGAAACAATCAATGGGAGAAAATTTGTTTGGTCAGAACTTTTTATGTTTCTTTGTTATGTGTGCAGAAGTTTTCAAGGGCAATCAGAGGATGATTAATATTAGTAGACTAAAAGGATTGTGAAGGATCAAATGGATGCATGGATGGATGAATAGATGAATTGTTCAGTAGATTATATATTTAAATAAATAGTAGCAGCTATCTGTGTAATTATAAGCTTTCCTGATAAGTAAGTGGTTTTCAACTTCCATTTTACATATGTTATACTCATAAATTACAGAAATATGTGAAAGGAGAACTTGAGAAATAGTATTTAGCTTGAATTGTTGAATGTTAAATCTGGTGTCTAAAGATAAACTACATTAGAGCAGTTTGTCTTCCTATTTTGATTTTCAAAAGTTAAAGCCATATCCTCCTCCTTTGGGTTTAAGTAAATATCTTGAACTGCAGATTCATTCATGATTTTATATCTCTAGAGGGAATAAATACTGTAAATTTTTTATCTGATAATAAGTAAATTCCTTCAACTATATGGCAGTCACCTTGTTTCAAGGTTAAATAAATCTCTTGCCTTTTCCTTCTCTGATAAGCATTCTTTCATGCCCAATATGTAAGTTACGGTATTGAACATGAATTACCTAAGAATGACCATCAGATTTACATGAAAAATTTTTTTATTATCAGTTTTTATGGTTCGTGGATTAATACCATGTTTTGTGTGGTCCTTCAGTAATGCTGAGTATGTTCATAAATAGGAATATTGTAAACATGTTTGTGAGTGACTGGAGGCAGGAAATTCTCAAAAATAACCTTGGATTGACCGCCCACATTGCAATACTGAATGTGAAGATTTAATTTTATTGCTGATTAGAGTATTCCTTCAGTATGTTATATTGTCCTGTGACTAAATACACCACCTACATTTTTCAACTTTTGAGTTTGGTTCTTGCATCATATATTTCAATTTAATTACTGATCCCCCTGTTTTCAACATTTTCTTCTACAGTTGGCTTATGGCCACATAACAGCTTGCACCATTGAGGAGTCTTTGTTGCTTGTTTAGAAAAAAAAAGTAATTTCAAACCCGCATGAACTTGGCCTAGACTCTTTATTTTATTTCTCTCTTTATGCAGATAATTAAGCACTTTAAAATGAAAATCCAGAGCCTTCTGTATCTCTATGTTACAGATGAATAGTTATTCTTCATTTAGGGAGCACTAAAGTATGACTATTTGTCTACAAGGGTATTGAAAACTATATTAAAATGTATGGGGCTGTAACTTTGCATATCATATTAAAAAAAACAAATAAAATATACAGCGATTTTTTATTGAGAAAAAGTTAGAATATTGAGTTGAGCTGGTTAAAAACTCCAAATTAATAAATTACAATGATAGAACTATTACTAAAATATATTGTTTTTCTTTTGGAATACTATGATCTACATTGAAATTTTGAACTTCTAGAAAATGACAAACAAACTACAAAATCATTTTATGTATATATGTTGTATAACTTCTGCTGCCTACTTAATAATTTTTTTCTACTGTTCTGGCAGATTCAAAAGAGGATATTTTATGGTGGGATGTTTGATTCTGTTTTAAAATTAGAACCATTATTCTACCTCAAGTATAGGATTCTTTGTACTAGATGATATTTCCATTGTTTCTGCCCACTGCCAATAAATTTTGAGGCTTCAGGTCACAGGCCCTTTAAATTGAAAAACTACAAGCACAAGTATGGGAATAGCTTCCTTTGAAAGTAACTTTACCTACTTAAGCAGTAATCTACACTAATAAAAGAGCAACATGCTAATTGAACTGTACCATCAAGACACCCACCAGCCAATTAGGAGTGAGTATGCAAATTAACCCAACAAAGATGGCAGGTTAATTTGTATACACGGGTATCACCAAGCGGCCTGGGGTAGGGTGAGATGCTTGCGTCATCAACATGGTGATGATGCAGATTTTCTGCACCACCCTAGCCACTCCAGGCCTCTGGGCAGCATGGGAAGGCAAAAAGGTGGCTCTCGGTAGAACAAACAGGCAGCTCCAGCCAGAGCTAAGGAGGTGCCGGCAGCCAGGGGAAGGAAGGTCACATTCTTACACAAATCTTCATGCATCAGGCCTCTAGTCTCTTTATAAGCACTGTGAATTCAAAAACTGCCATGCATGTGGGCTTTTAGAAAAGCTATAGTTAGCAGTAATGGCATGAGGACCAGAGAACAAACAGATTGAATATACAAATTGAATCTTCACCAAATCTCCAGATTGGGCTAAGTCCCATAGCCTGCTATGTTCACCTTTACTCTTTCAATAATGTTGATTAAACACTTATAGTGTGCTAGGCATTGGTAGGCCATGAAAATACAACATTGCACATTATAGAAAACTTGACCTCTAGCTGTTGACAGTTTAGCCCAGTGGTCAGCAAACTCATTAGTCAACAAAGCCAAATATCAGCAGTGCAACAATTGAAATTTCTTTTGAGAGCCAAAATTTTTAAACTTAAACTTCTTCTAACACCACTTATACAAAATAGACTCGCCCAGGCTGTGGTATTTTGTGGAAGAGCCACACTCAAGGGGCTAGCATGTCCACACTTCTCTGTCTTGCTGTCCCCAGGGCTGTGATCATGTCTGGTGTGTTAATATCTGTTTTCCCCTCAACTGTGAAGCACCTAGCAATGTGTAGACATTAAGTAAGTATCTGTTGAATCACAGAGTAATATAGCTAGAGACAATGGAGATCAACTTGTCTAAGCTCTTTTACTTAGGATTTTAAAATGATATTGTTAAATAAAAGTAGTTTGTGCTTATAGTTATACATTTTTTCTTCATATAAATCTTCTTAGGAACTTGAGTAACATTGAGTCACTTTTTCAGAGCATGCATGTAAATTGTAATCAGTTTTAGAAGGGATAATCTCAACTTTACAAAGTAAACATCAAAAAATTGAACATCAATTACAAAAGAATGAAACTTCTCTGAGTGTAGCAACCCAGGCTAATCTCCTGCCTCCAGAAGAACAACCAGTGGCTTTAGAAGGAAGCTCATCAGCTCTGTCTCCCTTGCTCTACCCAAAGTTGGTTACTTGTTCTGAATGTGGGGGAAGAAGAAATTTTACTCTAGCCCTCTAGGTTCTCCCAGCTGGTCTAATAAATAAATTGGCATGAGATAGATTAACAAGAGAAAAAAAACAAATTTAATTTCATATGTATATATGGGAACCCTATGTATGTGAGAGATTTTGAGACTGAAAGAGTAATGAAGCAAATATGGCATCTTGAGCTAAGAAATGAGGAACCTGCCTTCCCAGAGCTTCAGAGGGGAGGAATGCCATTCATAGAATGATAATAAGAACAGGTGTTTAGTAATTAGAAGTTTGCTGCCTGAATGGTGTGGCTCAGAGGTTGAGTGTCCCCTTATGAACCAGATTCCTGGTAAGGGCACATGCCTGAGTTATGGGCTCTATCCCCAGTGAGAGGGAGCATGCAAGATGCAGCTGATCCAGGATTATCTCTCATCATTGACGATTTCATCTCTCTCTCTCTCTCTCTCTCTCTCTCTCTCTCTCTCTCTCTCTCTCTCTCTCTCTCTCCCTCCCTCCCTCCCTCCCTCCCTCCCTCCCTTCCTCCCTCCCTCCCTCCCCCTTCCTCTCTGAAATAAATTAAAATATATATTTTTAAAAAAGAAGTCTTATATAGGTCATGAAATGTTATCTCTGGTGATAACTCTTATTGCATATCTCCAATTTAGGTTTTTTGAGGGAGAGATCAAAGTGGCACATCATGGGGAGGCCTGTTTTGAGCCCCTGAATGACTCAAAAAATATTAAAAGAGTAAAATAAGCAAAACTAATTATATAAGACTACAAAACATAAAGACATTGGGAAATTCTCTTATACCTCATTACAGGATCAAGGGGGATAGTCTATCATAGATATAATAACCCTGTATATATTGAAATGCAAATTGTTCAAACATCTTGATAAAATTTGTGAGGAAATTATTGCTGTTTCTCTAATTTTTTAAAAAAGTCAAACTTCTTAGAATTCATGCTGATATGCTCATCATAATAGTCTTGGAAGTTTTAGCTCTACTGCTAGAACAGTAGATTGAAATAGAATCTATATTCTTTTTAGTAAGTTATAAAAATGATAATATTCACTCTCATTTATTATATGTTTATACTGTATGTCACACATTGCCTAAATTTATATACTTGAGTTTTAAAAAATATTTCTGTTTATTATTTTCCATGCTTAATGTTAAAATTGACCACAGTTGTTTCTGAGTCATTGTTGTGAGCTCAAGTTGGGTCAATATAATTTCAACAGCTCAGTTACTTCCCATAGCACCTTTGTTTTTCATTCACTAATTTCATTCACTAATGATTTTCATTCACTAAAGGGGTTATCTCTTTTATTTTTTTATAATAAACTTTTAGAAAATATATTTTTTATTGATTTCAGAGAGAAAGGGAGAGGGGAAAGAGATAGAAACATCAATGATGAGAATCATCCATCAGCTGTCTCCTGTATGCCCCCTACTGGTGATTGAGCTTGTAACCAAGGCATGTCCCCTGACCAGTAATTCAACCATGATCTGGTTTTTAGGTTGATGCTAAACCACTGAGCCAC